GTGATACCTCATTGTTGTTTTAATTTGCATCTCTCTGATGTCATTATTTTTTCAAATAGGTTTTCAATTTCTTGCCCTCTCTCTTCTCCTTCTGGCACTCCCATCATAGGAATGTTGGTATGCTCGAAGTTATCCCACAGGCTCCTTATATTATCCCTTTTTTTTGGATTCTTTTTTCTTTTTGGTGTTCTGATTGGATGTTTTTTGCTTCCTTATATTCCAAATTAATGGCTCGTTTCTTGACTTCACCTACTCTAATATTGATTCCCTGTAAATTATTCTTTATTTCAGTTAGTACATCCTTCATTTCTGACTGGTCTTCCCCCCCCCCCCCCTTTAGATTTCTAGAGCAAGAGGGAGAGGGAGAAAGATAGAAACATTAATGAGAGAGAACATCAATCGGCTGCCTCCTGCATGCCCCCGCACTGGGGATTGGGCCCACAACCTGGGTATGTGCCCTGACTGGGAATTGAACTGGCGACCTCCTGGTGCATGGGTCGATACACTGAGCCACACTGGCTGGGCCTTACTAGTCCTTTATTATGCTCTTGAGGCCATCACTAAATTTATTGAGTGTCCTTATAAGCAGTGTTTTGAACTCAGCATCTGTTAGATTGCTCATCTCCATTTCATTTAGTTCTTTTCCTGGAGTTTTGTTCTGTTCTTTCATTTGGGACATGTTTCTTTGTCTCCTCATTTTGGCTGCCTCCCTGTGTTTGTTTCTATGTATTAGGTAGAGTTGCTATGTCTCTTAGGCTTCCTAGGGTGGCCTATTATAGTAGGTGTCCTATAGGGTCCAGTGGCACAGCCTCCCTGATCACCCAGCAGGGCCCTCGAGGTGTGCCCCTAGTGTGGACTGTACACCCCTCTGGTGTAATTGAGTCTTGATTGCTGTTGGCACATCGATGGGAGGGATTTACTCAGGCTGATCAGCTGCAAGGACTGGCTGTGCCCACTGACCACCGACATCTGACTACCTTGGATGAATAGCTGTGTAGGGGCCCACCACACAGAGCAAGACCTACTTCATCAGGGTTCTGGTACCCACTGAGTCCATTCCTTGAGTGTGTCATTTGTGGAGGTAGTTGAGTGGTGGTGCTTCGAGGTGGTCTGAAGCTGTCCACTGGGTGTGCTGGCTCTGGGGCAAGGTCAGCCACTGCCTGTGTTCTATCCGGGGCCACCAGGTATAAGCTACAAAGTGATCTGCAGCTGGCTGCTTCTTGTACTGGGCCTGGGCCACTTAGCGAGAGGTATGGGGCTTACTGAGACCAAATGCTGCTTGAGAGAATTTAGGAAAATCTGAAGCAGGAGCCAAAACAGGCCAATCCTATGATAAAGCCACTGGAAACAGCGTGGGTGGGCCTGAAAGCTGGGCCAGGAAGGGCCTCAGGGAGTCAGCAGGGCGTGGCAAACAGTGTGAGCCAGGTTGCTGGAGTCCCAGATATGGTGGCTGTCTGTCAGCCCGGGGAAGGGCTCACCAGAGGAACAAAGGCCTCTGACAACATGTCTGTCCAAGAGAAAGCTGCCTCTCCAGTCCTTGCCCTGATGCCAAACAACTCAGTTCTTCCCCGTATGTCTGCTGCCTTCAAGCTGCCTCCCCTCTGGGCTGGAGCTCAGAAGAAGCGGGTCCCAGTAAGTCTGTGCACAGGCCCTTGAAGAGGAGCTGCCTGAGCCTCCCGCAGCTTTAGCCTCCCTGAGCCTCTGTTCCCGCTGGTTTTTCCAGCCAGGAGTTACGGGACTTCTCTTCCTGGCACTGGAACCCTAAGCTGGGCACCTCGTGTGGGACTGAGACCCCCTCACTCCTCAGTGAGGACCTTCACAGCTGAGGTGTCCTCCTGATTTTTATCCGCCACACGTGGGTGTGGAACCAGCCCATCTGCCTCCGCCCCTCCTACCTGTCTCGATGTGGCTGCTTCTTTAATTCTGTAGTTGTAGGACTTCCATTCAGCTCGATTTCAGGGGGTTCTGAAGGATGTTTGTTCTGTAGATTAGTTGTAATTTTGATCCATAAACAAGTATTTAGATAATTCCCCCACCCTCATTTTCCACTAGTGGCAACATACTACATCTTTTTTTCTTTTAACAATGTACCTCAGAAACAGTCTTATATCCATATGTAAAGAGCTTTCATTTCTATAGCTGCATAGTATTCCTTTATGGATGTATCATTATTTAACCAATTCCCTACTGACAGACATTTGGGTTGATTCCAATGTCTTTTTTTTTAATTCTCATCAGAAAATTTTTTTTTTTTTTTTGCATTTATCTTCAGATAGAGCAGGAGGGAGAGAGAAGGGAGGGGAGAGAGAGAAACATTGATGTGAGAGACACATCGACTGGTTGCCACCCACACAACCCCAACCGGGTTGGGGACAAACTGCCACCAAGGTACGTGCCCTTAGCGGGAAGCAAACCCGGGTCTCTCTGGTCCATGGGCCGACGCTCTAACCGCTGAGCCAAACCCACCAGGGCTCCAATGTCTTTTTACGTATATTGCTGTAACAAATAACTTGCGTCGGACCTCAGAGCAAAGAGTCTTGGGTTCGATTCTGGTCAAGTGTACCTTGGTTGTGGTTCATCCCAGGCCCTGGTCGTGCAGGAGGCAGCCAGTCGAAGTCTCTCTCTCACATCTGTTTCTCTCTCCCTCTTCTCCCACTGTCTGAAGATAAATGGAAAAAAATATCGGGTGAGGATTTAAAAAAGAAAAACTGAGGCAAAGGGTTCATGCATTAGTAATTTTGACAGATACTGTCTAATTGTCCTCCATATCAATTTATAGCCCAATCAGAATATATGAAAATGGCCTATTTGTCATTCTGGATGTGTGATATCAAGTCACTATGAATCAAATATATCAGGGTTAAATGACTGCCAAATAGTTTCCAAGTTATTAACTGAAAAGAGGTTAAGATTATGTTCCCTTTTGGTGGAGGTGGGGTAGGGGTGTCAGATTGACTAGGATGGATCAAAAAGACGGGTGCTGGTTACATGTGCCAACTTACTCCCAGTTCCAGATCCACTTTTCTCTCTCCAACTCTGTGACACTGAGCTGGATCCTGTAACAGTTTTCCTTTGGAATACAGGCTTTTTCAAACGAGGGCACTGCAGTGACACTGCAAGACTATTGTGTCAGGAAGGCACCTTCCTTCCAGGTCCCCGCCTCCACAGTGACCAGTTAGCATGGGAACCCAGCAGCCCATGCAGATGTCTAGTTGTAGTCTAAGGTCTCTCTGCCCTGCAGCTCCAGCCGGCTGTCAAGTTCCTTTCACTCTTGTTTTAGTGGTAGCCACACCCTCTTCAAAGTGGTGTGAACCTCAGGGCTGTGGGGAGAGGCCTTCTCTTACTTAGTTCTTTGTTCCCTGTCTATTCTCCCTCAGCCTGGAGATAATAGTTGCTTTCATTACCACTACTTTTCTTTATTGAAGTCCTCTTTGACTGCCTTTAGTATTTACTTTCTACCAGTCAACAATTCCTTAATTACATTATCCCTTTTCAAATAACTAGTGATTTCTCTCCTATCGTATTACATATGATCATTTTGCAAAAATGCATCAAGATTTATACTTAAGAATTGTGTACTTTTGCATGTCTTTTTGGTGTACACTTATCTGAATTAATAGATACATCTGAATACTGATATATGTGTTATTACAAGAGTATGGACATACTACCACTCAGCTCCCATAGTTTCTTACTAATATTAAACTAGAGACAGGCGAGTACTAGTAAGATGCTTAAATCCACATGGGTTGACCAGAACAATAGCCTAGCCTCTGCTCCTTGCCTAAAGCTCTCCTATACCCACTCAACTGCAAACCTTCCCTCTGCTCTGGATATTTGTTCCAGGAAGTTAATTAATAAGACCATGAATCACCCACCATTTCCAATGGGTGTGTGGGGTAGCAGGTAGCAGAGAAGAGGCAACCTTGAGATCCCAGGGGACCAACAAGAAGTATAGGCAAACAAACCTCGGCTTAAACTGGCACAGATTTACATTCTATCAAACTGTCCTCAAATGCAACCTCCCAATAACATAGGAGATAGTTTTTATAATCATTTTATTGATGAGGAAACTGATAGTTTGTCTGAGAGGTAAAGCAACTTTGCTACAACTAATTTAAAGTAGCTAAAATATGCATCCAGGACTGCCCCAACTATGCTGCTTCTCCTTTGCTAGTGGTCTCTCTGATTGTGGAAATGAAATGATCTAGAAACAATACAATCCCTGTGAACAGAAGGGCCTGTATTTGATGTCCTCATTCTAGAATATTCTCACCCTCTAGAATGAAAATTAAGTTCTTAGTATCTCAGAGGAAACAAGTTTTGTGTGTGTGTTTCCAATTCACTTAAATATACTTTAAGATACCCCATGGCATGAGACCACCCAGTTCTGTCTAGTTGCCTGTCTAATCACAGTCCAAGTGGCTTGAAGGGAGGTGAGAGGGGCGATACTTTGAAAAAATTAGAACATGCTTAAAATTTAAGGTAGCCTAATTACAAGAAAATTCCTCTAATAATGTTCTTAAAAATTCACTAAAAGAAAAACCTGTCTTGATAATTATGATTTAAAAAATAATTAATTAGAGCCCTGGCCGGTTTTGCTCAGTGGTTAGAGCGTTGGCCTGCGGTCCAGAGAGACCTGGGTTTGGTTCCCGCTAGGAGTGTGTGCCTCGGTTGCAGTTTGTCCCCAGCCCTGGTTGGTTGTGCGGGTGACAGCCACTTGATGTGTCCCTTTCACATCGATGTTTTCTCTCTCTCTTCCTCTCTCTCCCTCCCACTCTACCTGAACAAAAAATGAAAAATGTCCTCAGGTGAGAATTAAAAAATAAAAATTAAATTAAAAAAAAGTAGGTACAGAGTTGATAAATTATGTTTTGGCATTTGTTCAACAGACAAAATACACCTAGAGAACATAAAAATTCTTTATTTACCCTAATCCAGCCAGTATTGAGATAGTCTGCTATATTAAAAACAAGACGTTTAAAAAAATTACAGCACAGTTAGCAAGGCAGTGACTAATTAAGTCACTAAGTTTAATTATATATTCTTCACAGTCATTTGATAATCATGTAATGATAAACAATATTTTCAGCCACTTTGGAAATGTTAATTTCTGCAGAGAATTCTACTAGTTGTCATCAAATTTCATATAAGAAGTTTAAAACATTAGTTTTTAGAACACGGTAAAGCAATGTGAAAATAAACTGAAAAACATAAAATGTACCCACCCATCCAAAAAGTCTACAGCATCCCTTCAATCTAATGCCTTTCTTTTACATATTCATTCCGTTTTCTTAGAGTGTGAACAGGCTATTTAGCAATTAAGAAACAACTACTACTCTGTAGGGGCCATTTCAAGCCTAAAGTGCTTCTGTTCCTTTTCTCATTTAAGCCTAGAAATATCTTCTGAGGTTGAGTATTACTTGCATTTCAGTGATGAAGAAAACTATAGCTGAAAGTTAAGTCACTTGGCCAAGGTCAAGTTATTAAAAGCAGAATTATCATTTGAACCCAGGTCTACCCAACATTAGTCAGCTCATGTTCTTGTTACTTCATGGTGGTGCAAGCCACCTTTCTCGAGACTGGGACATAATTCTCAAGCTAATACGGCTCTTAAGAGTTAAGTGTTCAATTCCAGGGCTAGAGGCCACTCTTGGTCCCCAGGCACTTGCAATTCCCTCACACAGCCCCAGAAACCCCGCTCCCTTGTCCCCACCTTGAGCATTAAAGTAGTAAATGGGGAACTGTGTGCGTATACAACTTTAGTAAAGGCTGCCTAAAAGCTGTTCTATGTAACAAAATTATGCAGGAAATATCTAATATCTTTTCATCTTAAATTAAAAAAGCCAATATATTTTATAATTATAGCTACATAATCTAAGTTATTTATATATATAATCACAGATTTTTATTTCCCCTTCAGAACTATAACAGTGTTCTTAATAAGGCCCACTGTCAGTCAGATATTCCCTTCCTCCCCAAACTTTGAATGTTCAACAGCCATTCACATCAACTTCCTGTTATAACTCAAAATTAAAACATTCATATTATAAAAAGATACCAGTCTTAAATTACTAAAGTTAACATACATTACTGTATTCTAACCTAGATCAATCTGTATTTGCTACACCCCTAAAGAGAAGTGGCCACTTCTTAGTAAGGGGAAATTTTTATTGTCGTCATGCATTAGATACTGTAAACAAGAAAATAAACAAGGTTTTTGGAACTAACTTTAAAAATGTAATTTAATTTAATGAAAATAACTGCAAGACCATTCAGATTGCGAACAACATTTAAAGGGCCACCACTGAAAATGGCTTAAAATAAATAAATGCTTTTTAAAAATGAATATAAAACTAGTTCAACAGTGATTAAGGTACTACCCTCATCAATATAACAAGCAGTTAAAATCTAAAAACATTAGTATTGGGTTTTTAAATAATAAATTGTCTTAAGCCAAAAACAATGACCTCAGTATTTACTCAAGACTTATTTTCATAATTACTTCCTCACTGACTGGTGTAAAATCAAGACCTCAAGGCCTCACCTTGGTTCACCACTGTTGGTTTTCTATTTGAAATTAGACCGTCAACTACATAAAATCAGGAACCAAGTCTGTGTTGTTCACACTGTATCACAGCACTTTGCATAGTGCCTGGTCAAACAGGTGATCAGAAAATACCTGAATAACTGAATCAAAGAGAAGAGTAAAATAACTTTATTGATTTTTTTTTCAAATCGTTCGCTGTGCTCAAACTACTATATGTGGTAGCTCGAATTTCTGAGAATTATGGATTTAAAAATCTTATTCCAGTGATGAAAGGACCTGATATCGCGCGCGCACACACACACAGTAATTAAGACTGCACGAGTCAAAATTACATTATGAACTATGAGATGTCAACATTATAGAAATAAAATTTAATAGTGAAAAAGTGATCTGGAAGCCCTGTGAATTTTTACCCTACACATTTGAGGATATCACATGGGTTAAGAAAAACATCAAAATCGCATTTGTTCAGATAATCATTTGAATGCTTACATACATTTTTGGTTTGTCATTTATTTATAACTAATTTAATTTACATTTTCTCATATTAACATGTACTCCTGTTTAACATGTAATCAAATTATGCCAGTGAGAAAAATCCTCATAGTACCTTCCTTGAGTTGCCGATTCTAAGAAAACACTGAACATGAACATGTACAAAAGAGGCATCTGAATAAAATGGCATGTGTATTTTTCTGTATTTGAACAGGTTGATCTTTACATTTCTGTCTGAAGAAAATATGAACAAAGCCCAGGTTTACCATGCTAATTTAATGTGTTCATATGACTGCCATAAAAGAAGTACATACAGAATAATGAGAACAAATCACATCCTTAAGTTCCGTGATTACTGAGAGGATTTCCCCGTCCCTGCTTTCTTTATTATATTTCTTAAAAATATGAGAGCAGCAGCTTATCACAAGTCTCCACTACGGTGCATTAATGATGGAATCAAAACAACACAACAGACTCATAAGGATGAGAGGACTGCAGAACGACTGGAAGTCACAGTTTTATGCTTCTTCTTGCTCTGGATAATTTAGAATTTTGCGGTGTGCCTGACGTAAATATTGCTGCTGTTTAAAGTAAACCTTGAATGCTCCTTTTATGGCAACAAAAGCAATTCCACCCTAAAATAAAAGGAAAATTATCTTTTTATAATGCAGATTTAGAGAAACATAAAAATAAGTTTACTGAGTTAGCTATCATTACTATCTTCATTCTGTAAGCACAGAGAGGTCAAGAAATTTTAGTTTCTCAACAAGGCAGTATCTGTGATAGGGTTTGAACCAGGCAGTCTGACCCAAGAGAAGCAGCTCTTCACCATAACCTTGCTGGCAAGAGGGATGGGTGTGATTTGTGCATATTCCAGGAGAGAAATCACCAGAGCAAAGTTCTGGAAGGCCAGAGCTACTGCATTGGATCCTTCCCTTTTTATTGCTATTGGATGACAGTAAGGATCAAATCAAGGCTTAAGCCACTGGAGCCACAGAATATTCATATAGCCCCATTTGGTTTGTTTTTTAAAAAAACAAATATACAGTTCATTCTCTTTTGTATAGTCACTTGAAAAAAGTAATATTAATGCCATCTTACCAAGATTGTCCTTTGTAAATTAGAGTTGACACTACTAAACATCAGTTTACCAACTATTGTCGCAATAGTAGGAAAGACAAGGGCTCCACATAATATTCGGGTGGCAGAGACATGATCTGCTAGAGGATTAGCTTCAGCTGGAATTCGAGGAACAGGACAACCAATCCCTAGAGGAAAAAATTGTCAGGTATTAGTGCTAGGAAATTAGCACAGCTAAAATATCTTTGTATGCAAGAATTCTTTCACAACATTAATTTGGCATGCTTGTTACAACCTCAATTCAGGGACTTACCTGGAAATATACTGTTCAAAATTTGTAGTTTATTTGAGTATTTGCGCCATAGTCTAAGCACATAATCCTCCCAGCGAATCATCTTGCCTAATATCAGCATGACAGGAATAGTAGGAAGTCCAATTAAGAGAAATAAAGGGTCAGCTCTCTCCATAACATCCAGACCTTCTTTATGGCCTACAACCTGTGAAACAGATAGCATTTGCTAGAATCACTTTGTTTTCTAATGAAGGAATGCGGCATGCTTGAACCCAATTCATTTTAGAGGAAATGCTAAATGTCTAAAAGAATACAGAAATAAAAAGTTTAAAAATTAAACTGGAAAGCTATCAGTCCTGATTTGTTTATAAGAAGTGTCTCTCATTCCAGGTGGGAGGACCTCCCAAGTGGTTTCATATTCCATTGGAACAAAAGTTTTAAAAATGGTTGGCCCACATTGATTACATTTGAATAGAAGGGAGGGGACCTTCTGGTTCTTGCTTCCATTCCTGTTAACTGGTTTGCCTGGGCTACTTTAGGTCCTATTTGTCTTCTAGTAGAGCATCTGTTTTCCTGTTCTTCCTACCAGAAAGCAAACATAGTCAGGCAAGGGCAGGACCTGCCTTCAGGAGACAGCCTAAAAACTCACTTCTCTTTGGCTCTTTTTCCTCACTCAAGTGGTATCTGGATAGAGTGAGATCTCCCTGGTTTGGCTAAATGCCTGCTCTTCACACCTAACTCTTCCTTTGGTTTAGATCTCAGAGGGCAAGAAGTACATTATTACTTTGTGAATCTCCCTACTTCCCTCCTAGCAGAATCCTTTTCACTTGCTGATCAATCTTAGCCTTACACTTCTCTCAATACCACCAATTTGTTGGTGAGTTTCTTATTTTTAACTAGACAATTTCCCTGAAAATTCTCTTTAAAAGGCCTCAAATGATCTCCCATTAGCCAAAAGTTTCAGTTGCTCACAAAATAAACAAATTTCTCTGAGGGATTATTCTGAGCAGTTATGACGGGAAGGAGAGTACTGCAGAAGCCCACCCAGGTCTCACGGTGTAAGGCAGCAGCCTCATAGTAGGACACTACTGCAAAGGACTCCATGTAAATTTTTCTGATCACACTTGAGAAATAAGCCAGGAAGAAAGGATTAGAGAGGACACTGTGTATATTTTTTAAAGGAAGGAGGGAAAGTAAAGAAGGTAGGGAGGACTAAAAGCTCCCAGGGATAATATATATATTCAGAAAAGCAAGCTCATGAGATTTTTTTCAAAAATGAGATGGCCTTTATGTCAGTTATTATAGTACTTTTTTTTCAGGTGAACTACAAAAAGATGTGAAATGAGGTCAAGCTGAGACTGATCAGGGCAAACTGAAATTCTAGAAAAGAGATTCGATCCAGGTAAAAATGTTTTATAAAACATTTTGGAGAGGACCAAAATGGGTGCTTTTAAAATTTCAGTCAGGGATATAGCCCAGACTTGTACTTAGTTAACGTATCTAACCAAAATGTAATACTAAAGGGGCAGGAGGCTAGCCTCTTCCAAATGGTAAAAAACAGTGGCATCAGCCCAGCTGGTGTGCCTCAGTGGATTGAGCATCGTCCCATGGACTGAGGGTTCCTGGTTTGATTCCTGGTCAGGGGCTCGATCCCCAACAGGGGAAGTACAGGAGGGAGCTAATGGCTGTTTCTCTCTCTAAAATAAACAAACAAAAATCAATAAAAACATATTTAAAAAACAAAACAAAAAAACCTACCATGGCATCAGTACCTGATACTCTTTGGTGTCTCCAGGGAGAAACTTAAATTAACAATTTCACATCTTACATGTGAAGGGTGATCGTTCTGAGCTGCCCTAGTCAAACAGTCTGGCTCACAGTTATTTCTTTTTCTTTTGTTAATCCTCATCTGAGGATACTATTCCATTGATTTTTATATAGAGGGGAAAGGAGGGAGGGAGAGAGAGAGAAACATCCATGTGAGGGAGCCACTAGATTGGTTGCCTCCTGTATGTGTCCCATACTCACTTCAACCAGGGATTGAACCTAAAACCTGGGTATGTGCCCTGACCAGGAATCAAAACCATGACCCTTCAATGCACAGGACAATGCTCCAACTAACTAAGCACACCGATCAGGGCAAAACAGTTTATTTTTTAGACTTCAATTCTGGGGTGAGATTCAAGAACTATAGAATGCCTTCTCTAAGAGTTTGTTATCCACGTATGAAATAAAGGCCTATGGAACTGTATGTTAAGAGAAAAGTTTGCTTATTTTTCTGCTTAAGAGCTAAAAGCTAGATCTTCATATCCACCTAGGCCTATAGTTCACCAATGCTGAAAAGCTAAGAGTTTTAATTAAGGCCTGATCTTTGAAAGCACAGCCTATTAGAACCCTACTTTTAAATGGGAGGATGGAACAGTGATGAACTAACAGGTTTTCTTAGTTAGAATTTAGGATAATTAAGTGTAGTGTAATTAAGAATGGACAATGCTTATGGGGGTTGTCTTTATACTAGATATAAAAGTGGAACTAGGCTGGATATTAAGATTTCATTGTTCTAAAATAAAATGTTCCAGCTGCCTTTGGGACCAGGTTTCAATTAAGGAGCCCAAGATTAGGGACAGGAGTCTTAATGCTTCTTCCTTACTGTGTGGTACTGGACATGTAAACTCTTTGAACCTGTAAACAAGGAATAATTGATAGTATCTATGCCACAAGACTGTTGCAAGGATTAAATGCATCACTGCTTGAAAGGTCTTCAGCCCAGTGCTTTTGAGAAGCACAACTTAAGGCAGAGGATATGGTAAGCTTGAAGTAAGAGGTTGAAGGTATTATTTTAGGAAGATTCATTTGAAAGGATAGAGAGGAGAGAATGAAGTTAGAGAAACCAATCAAGAGGTTCTTTCAGCCATAAAGGTTATGATGGGGGAGTGACAAGAAATCATGAGGTCAGAACTGTGGAAAGGGAAGCCATAGATGTAAAACATACCAAAATGAAAACTGCTTGGACTTGGTCAGTGGACTGCATACAGGGCTAGAAAGTTAAAGGTAATCTTAAGAATGTAGGCTATAAATGGAGTAGGTGAAAAAATAATAGTAGGAATCAAAATAAATTTTAAAACTTCTTGCCCTGGCCGGTGTGGTGCAATTTGTTCGAGCGTTGTCCCATACACCAAAAGGTGGCAGGTTTGATTCCTGGTTGGGGCAACTATGGGAGGCAACTGATGGATGTTTTTCTCTCTCTCCCTTCCTCTCCCTAAAATCAATAAAAAACATATCCTCAGGTGAGGGTTAAAGAAATACATATTTAAGCCCTGGCCGGTTTGGCTCAGCGGTTGGAGTGTCAGCCTGTGGACCAGAGAGCTCTGGGTTCGGTGTCCACTAGGGGCACGTACCAAAAAAAAAGAAAAAGAAAAAATATATATATTAAAAAACAAAAACAAAAAAACCCAAAATCTATTTAACAGATCTTCACATGAAAAGTAAAATAAATGAACAGAGTGAAATAGTGAACCTGCATCACTGTCACTGCTCCGTAAGTCACAGCTGTCCAATAGATAGAGCCAACCATTATTCCTGCTGCAGCAAATGGACAGGCTTTTGAGATCAGTCTATCTGCAAGATCCAAGACATACACAACTGGACCTATGATACAAAAAAAACAAACAAAAACAAGCAAAGTTTCAACACGAGAGATGTTTAAAAAATATTTTCCATAGATCTTAAATATTTTATGGGGTTGGTTGCTCTGATGCTTTAGAAATAACTTTTATAAATGTGATGGCAATCTAGATTTGAATAGGTTTAGAATTTCTCAGTCATTTGCATGAATATCTAAGTTTTACTTCTGAAATTTAAAAAATAGCCTCTTCAATTTTTTTTTTTTATCAGTAAACCTATGATTAAAGCCCCAAACACAGTTCCTGCTGATAAAAGCAGTAGTTCTCTCACTTCTCTTAATAAAATTGGCTACTACAAAATAGAAGAGCTATTTCAGGTTGCCCTTCCCAAACAGTTCCTGGCCACAACTAGATTCTCTAGCACTTGGTAAGAATATCACTTCTTTGACTTCTCTCATTACTTCCTTGGTACAGCATGTGAAAGTAACCAAGGCTATTTTATTGTAGTTACACAAAGTCAATCTATCTATAGCATATTTTCAATATGCTATAATTAGTTGAGTATTTTTCTCTAACAGCTTCTTTTAATGATCATAACACCAGTTTTTATGGCATTCCAACAGCTGTGTGTGCCAATTATGATCCTATTATTATGTGCTTAACTGTGAAATTTGGCTACTACCTCCCTCTGGAATTTATTTGGAATAGCTACACTGGAGGTATTCTAATTAACTGCCATTTAGCCCAATAATATAATTTAGCTCCAGAATATTCAAGAACAGTAGAAGGGTCTTAGGCCTAAATTAGAGCAAGGCCTAGAGAACAGAATATCTAAAGTTTAATTAAAGGATTATGACAACTTGATTGAGAAATCAAAATAGTTGTTGAATACCCTCTCCACACATTACATAAGACATTTTCTTAGAAATGTAAAAGTGTTATTACCTACCTTCTTGGGGCCTACAATCTACAGAATGATACTATACATTAAAAAACAATTTTCATTGTACACAAAAATTAACATAGCAATATGATAAAATAATTAAACATATAAGAACAAGCATTCATCTTCAGAGACTCTGATCAATACTTCCCCTTGATCACTGGAGCCAATATCACTAAGTCACTGTTTAAAGAGAGACCACATTGTGAAATAGAAAGAACATCTCGAGAGACACCAAAGGATCTGTGATTTAAATTTAGCATATTTACTTACTATTGTCAAAATCTAACTTACATAACATTTAGAACTATGACATGGTATCTTTTGGGATAAAGTAAGTTCAAGTAGGTAAGCCTAGTTCAGTGCATTCAGTGCACACTGACTCTATATGCTCTAATAATAGTTATCGTTTCTTGAGTGTATACATACCAGGTGCTGTGCCACAGGCATTAATTACATGCATCATTATTTAATCTCATAATGTAGGGTTTAATCTAGTGGTTCTCAACCTTCCTAATGCCATGACCCTTTAATACAGTTCCTCATGTTGTGGTGACCCCCAATCATAAAATTATTTTTATTGCTACTTCATAACTGTAATTTTGCTACTGTTATGTCTTATGCGACCCCTGTGAAAGGGTCGTTCGACCCCCAAAGGGGTTGCGACCTACAGGTTGAGAACTGCTGGTTTAATCCTTAAAATACGCAAACTTGCTGGGTTAAGTTTATAACTCTCTCGGAAGGCACAATAAAAGTCATTTTAGCCCTGGCCGGTATGGCTCAATTGGTTGGAATTGTCCCATGCACCAAAAGGTTGCTGGTTTGATCCCCGGTCAGGCACATGCCTGGGGTTGTGGGCTTGGATCCCAAGTAGGGAGTGAAAAGGAAGCAGCTGATAGATGTTCTTTCACATCAATGTTTCTCTTTCTCTCTATCCCCCACTTCCTCACTCTCTAAAAATCAATCAAAGTAGTTTGTTTTTAAAAGTCATCTTAACAAGTCACCAAAGATCCCTCAAATGCTGGTACTAAAAATTAAAGACAACACTTTGACTTTATTTTTTAATCAGAAAACTGAAGCCATATGAAAACAACTACAGACTCGACAGCACATGTACTCATCTACCAGATCCCATCCCCTTTCCAACTCAAAGCCACAGCTCCCACAATTCTCTTCTACTCTCACACATCCTTTCCCCCTACTCTTTGCTGGATGATTTCCAAACAAACATGTCATTATTTCCTCTATCTTCATTTGATCCTTCTTCCCCCACTGCTCCATTTCTTTGCTCCTTTTATAACAAAATTCCTCCAAAGACTTACCTGTCTCTACTTTCATTCAATTCTCTTCAACCTACTCCAACAAAACTGCTCATTAAGGTTACTAATAACGTATGCATAGCTAAATCCAATCTCAGCTTTCCTCTTATTTGGCCTATTAGCAACAGCTAACACAGATATTCCCTTCTTACAATAAGGTTCTTCCCTGCATTTCCAGGACATCACCATCTCTTGGTTTTCTTTCCATTTCACTACCCAGGAACTTTTCAGTCCTTTTGCTTGTTCCTCCTCTTCTTGATGTCAGCGAGGCCCACTCTGCCAATTTATACCTCCCTATACTACCTATTTTATTGCTCTAGTTTTCTTTTCCCAAAGCACTTATCATGTAACATACTCTAATGTACTTATGAATTCTGTTTCCATATACTAGAATAGGGATTGGAAACTATGGTCCATGGGCCAAATTAAGCTGGCTGCCTGTTTTTGTAAATAAAGTTTTATTGGAGCATGGCTTTACACAAAGCCTAAAATACTATCTGTTTTTGTTTGTTTTTAACAGAAAAAATTTCACCAACTCCTGAACTAGAAAAAAAGCTCCAAAAAGAAATCTCTAGGTCTTCCTTTTTCATTATTCTGTACAGAGCCCAAGTTACAAGACTATCTCCTACCCAGTCAGAATAGAATTTATATGGAAAGAGGTATTTTACAAGCTTCCAATGTACCTTCTTCCCCTCCCCTTTTCAACAGGGTACTTGGAACTATTTGCTGATGAATTAAAGTAATTTAATTCCTAAAATTAAATTAACCATTTGGATAAAAACATAATTCCTAAAAAGTAATCCATTACTACCACTTTATCTACATAAACATAGACAATCTAGAGATGTCTGAATTATCTTTCCTATAAAGATCTCAGAAGTTTCTAATAAAATTAGCTTAGTTTTCAATTTTCTTCCTGAATCATTTGGTGTGAATTCTTTTTGTACAAGCAAAAACATATAAACTCCTCCCTCTTAATTTTGGAAAATTTCTACTTACACTTTGGGTCATATGCAAAAGATATGCTGGATTAAATGAAGACACTGGCTGCATTATATGGTCCCTAATCCAATTTCTCTGATCAAATTCTGTTTAGACTTTTGTCTTAAGTTTATTTTGCCTAAACCCCTCGAGGTTCTTCCAGATAGAGTAGTCCAAGATTAGTTCAATAATTCAAAGAAAGGTTAAATGTCTAGTGGTAAATATACCATTAGAATAATAAGCTGCCACCCAGAGGATGTATTTCTGAGAACTCAAGATTATCTAGGCAAGCTATTTGGTGAATAAGAACAATCACTTAAATCCTCTGGATGACAGTCCCTAAATCATACCTTTCCTATTAGGAAGCTTATCATGTGCTACTACCCTATGACTTGGGGTCACAAAAGGAAAATAGTAATAGCCACTTGATTCTTCTTCTTGTCAGATTACAGCACAAAGAGTTATAGGAAGTGAGGAAAGGCAAGACTCTAGCCCTTGAAAACCTCAATTCCAATGGGGAGGAAGAAGTATGAATAAATGCACTTTACAAGTTAAATATGTAAGGGCATAAAAAAGGTATCAATATTTTAAAAAGGCATTACAGAATTTTTAATGCCTCAGTGGGCTTTGCCACCTGTTTTCAATAGTATTGTTTTTACACATGGATGACAAAAGGAACTCTATTGTGAATTCTTTCATATTATAAAAAAGCTTTGTCTCTGGCTGGGTGGCTTAGATGGTTGGAGCGCTCTCCACACACCAGTAGGTTGTGGGTTCCATTTCCAGTCAGGATGTATACGGGAGGCAACCTGATGTTTCTCACATTGATGGTTCTCTCTCCCTTTAAAAAAAAACCAACCAGCCCTGGCCAGTTTGGCTCAGCGGTTAGAGCGTCTGCCTGCGGTCCGGAGAGACCCGGGTTCGGTTCCCGCTAAGGGCACGTACCTCGGTTGCAGTTTGTCCCCGGCCCTGGTTGGTCGTGCGGGTGGCAGCCACTCGATGTGTCCCTTCACGTCGATGTTTCTCTCTCTCTCCCTCCCTTCCTTTCTCTCCCTCCCACTCTATCTGTACAAAAAAATGGAAAAATATCCTCGGGTGAGGATAAAAACAAAAACAAAAACAAAAAACAACCACCAAAAAACACATTCTTGGGTGAGGATTTTTAAAAAAAGCTTTTGTAGAGAATATAGTTACACCTTAATATTTTTGATAAATTCAAATTTTCACATAGTGAGCTGAGAATTACTGGGGAAACTCCTAAGTCCATGTCTACTGAAAAAGAAGGAATGAGTTTTATCTGGCAGACACTGTGAAGATAGATTTTCTGTAGCTGTGATTTAAATTCAAGTCTCTCTATATATGAATGGTGTTAAAGGTATATCTTGGAAGATAAGAAATTAATGAATGAAAGACAGGCAATACCTGGCATTCAACATTGGCTGGCACTGCTTATAACAATACCCAGAAATCCTAGGACCTTTCTCAAGGATAGAAAGGTATTCTCAAAAATACCTTAACCAATTCTTGAAAAACAATTTCTATGTTACAAGAGCTATAGTTTCTAACACAGAACATAATTTAATGAGAATTTTTGGGTACTTCGTAAGATAACTAAGAAGATTATAGCTCCCACAAACTCCAAGGTTTCTGTTAAATAGCCAATGGTACATAAAAGAGAATTAACAAGCAAATAGATTGCTTGCAGAAGCTACTCAAGTTTCCAGGATTTTGTTATTTTTCCTTTGCACTGAACTATTTTGCCCTAGACTCAACTCAAATGCT